TTAAATCGCATTTTGACAGTTGAATTTTGTTTATTTGGTCGGTATTAATTTGTTTTTCGGTAAATAAAATTTAAATTTTTGGATAGGTTAGGACATTTTATTACACGCACCGACCATGTATTAAAAATACTGACAAATGATTATATTTACGAATATTTTAATGAAAATACCGACAGTTTTTGCATTTAATCGATGTAACACCGGCCATTTATATTACGTACTGATGTTTTATTTAAAATCCTGATTAAAAACTTTTTAAAATACTGACCCAATAAATAGCAGCTCTTGTTAAAAAGCTGCATACATTTCACATTTTTGTAAATTACGTCGAAAGTTCATCTACTTTTTTCAAATTGAGAAGAAAATATAAGAGACTTGCCCTGCTTTCAAAAATTCCTAAAACTTCGGTCTCCTTTAAACTTGGAAATTTCTTCCCTTTAAAAACTAGAAGAAAACCGTGGCAGGCTTGAAACTTCTCGGCAAACACGGTCACTACCGAATTATTCTTCAGAGATCAGTAGCCTGATCAAGCTTAAGGGAAGGCTAGCTTCTAATTACGGTTGGGAAATTTCGCTCCCTTTGGGGCGGTTTCTCAAAATTGACGTGTCGTAAACGCAGCAACGCGAAGCAACGTGCAGGGTTCAGCGGAGGCTGGAGGAATTGTGGAAATTAAGAAAGCACGCGATGCTTCTGAATTGCAAATTCGCCGCTGCCCACGGATATAAAATTAGGGGAGCCGCTTGAAAGGTGCTCGTTTAGTGTTTCCCCAACTGTGCCCTGTATTCAGGCCCCTTCAAGAACTTCTTCGAGGAGGGGGGCGCGGAGCAGAAATTAAAACCCGCGGTTTTAGACTCGAGGATACTCTTAAAGTTACTTACTGCATATTTAGCCCCTGTTTCGTTCTCAAAAATAACAGAAGGAAGAGGCGACGTATGAAATTTAGCTCGAGTCGAGCTTGCTAACTTTACCTTAAATACTTCCTGGTGTCTCGACCAACGCAACATCCTTTCAGCCAGCGTAATGGATATTAATGCCTCTCTGCTGATTTATGGTAGTTTGATAAAGCAGCGTTCAGACAATGCTTTTGGATTTTCAGAAGCACGTTGATAAAATGGTAAATTGTTAACGGGTAAATGTATGTTAATTATTGTCACTTGTTAGATTTCACACTGATAGCGATATAACTCGAACAATGTTCATTTTACAGGAGAAGCAGTTTAACACGTTGAATGTCGGACCAGTTCTACGTAACTTGTCCACGGTGCCAAAAAGAATTTTTCATTCTAATACAACACATTGTAATATGCATAAATAATATGTCAATAGTTAGAAATAAAGCTGTTTAAATATGCTGTGTGATGCATTACGTGAAAATTTTACAAATACTACCATTTATTTAAATTAAATGCTTTTCCTAATTTTGAGACCGCCGGTCACCGATCACCCCCACGGCATTCAAAGTGTTAAAATTGGCATTTGACTGATAGTTGAATTCCGATAGTATAATCTGATCTCCTCTCCGGTACGAAACTAATGAGGTCAGAAATGTACCGTTTTAGACGATAAAAATAGTGTACCTGTAGAATCTATCTGTGCAAAAAATCAAAATTGACATTTTTTGTGTTATGTCACTATCAATGCCAACCGGCGACATGTGCTTTTAGATGGTAGAACTTTTGAAACAGTTTAAGTTCAGAGTGAACTGAATTGGTAGAGATTAATTGATCACGTAAATTGTTGAGTAGCAAATTGAGTTGAAGTTAGTAGATTATTAGTGCACTATTCGCAACTGAAAGTGTAACATCAAATGGAAATTTCACTGCACTTGTTTTTGTCATTTCCATTTTCTTTATAGTAATTATTAGGGCACTATTCGTAATTGAAAAGGTAGCATCAAATGAAAATTATACCACAATTTCTTTATAGCATAATTACTGCGTAATTGCTTTACAGTAGTTATAGTAAGAATACTGTATAATTTCTCTATAGTAATTATTTGTAGGTACAGTATTCGTAACGTAAAATGTAATGTCAAATGGAAATTTTACCACACTTTTTTTGTATAGTTACTATAAAGAAGAAGTTTAACAAAATTTACATTTGCTATTATATTTTCAGATATGAATAGCGCATTAACAGTCTACTAACTTTAATCATCGTTTAACCATTTCTTTGCTCAAGAATCACGAATTACTTTAAAATCTATTTTCACGTCTAAATGTCTCCAAGATGTTCAAAATAAAACGAAACAGGTGTACAAATAATATCTTCAGTCAAACTTAAATTCGCCGTTCGATATAAAATACTACAAGTTGCAATAAAAATAACCAATAAATTCAATGGAAAATCGTAGATCACCTGTTTGTACACCCAATATTATCCACGATGATCATTCAATCTCATATGAAAGTTTACCGCAAAATATAAGCAGCAATGTGCTCTGTCCCTCAACAGGTGAACAAAGCGTTGGCCAAAGAATTATCCAGCGGAATATTCACGGAAGACAACATCGTGGAATCAACGCGTCTCAGCGTGACTCTGCGCCTCGAACGACATCATTTCCCCGGAGGAACCCTAACTTTGAAATGCCAATCGACGTTGCCGGGAATAATCGGAGTGAGAACTCTGGAAAGAACGGAGACCGCAACGTTAGCCGCCAGCAATCAGAGACTAGCCCAGGAACCGCCTAGATCTGGCAGCTCTATCAACGATCCGCTGCTCTCGATCGCGATCTACAGCCTATCGGTGATCGTGCGATCGTTGAACCGCGATAACTTAGCACTTCTGCATGTCTAATCGTCGAGAATCGGCCAAAATTTCGATCGTTCGAGTCGTTTCGTCCGAGGAAGAAAATATCGCTTTTTAAATGTCGACAAATTATTGCAAAACACGATTACCCGATTTTTACATTTAGATCCCAGATTGACGGTAGGATCGAATATTTCCATCGTTCACTGCCATTCTGAATTTCTTTGCTCACGCAGGTGACACAGGTGTTGTCAGGTGTTGAAAAGTACCGCGGGAATTTTCGAACGAATTTTTGCATGCATGTTATATGTTAACGTACGTGTATAGGAAGAGAGGGAAATAATAATTGCTATATGATTTGATTAAGAAAACAAAAAAAAAAAAAAGCGAGTCGTTCCTAACGCGAACGTTGTACATAGTGTATGATTGTGAATTAGAATTTGCTGAAGGTGTGTAATTAAAGAGCGGAGAGCGATAAACACGGTGAAAGTAAAGCAGCGGGATTCGTTGGATCACGATCACGAGTCATCCCTCGATGTGCTCGATTGTTTTACGGATAATACGCGTATCAATGTGGGCTGAGAGCGGAGAGGCATAAATTTGAATCGCAAGAAAAAAATGAAAGAACGGAGAGAAGATTCACGTTTATGAGGTTCGAGATAATTGTAACTTTCTTTTTTTATCTCTCGGCAGATCCTTTTTGGTGGCGTACAAGAATTTATATAAATATATATATACATATACGTATATGTATACACACGATGAATTCGTCATATTTACGTTTTATTGTAATTTTACATGATCCATATCTGATCGTTACGACACATTTCAAACAATAAAGAGAAACGTCAGGCATAGTTCTCGTGTGTTGCTTCATTTCTGCACCTTTCCCGCGCGTTTTGCATGTCAGGCGAGATATTTTTCTTGAATTTTTTAATATTAAGAAAGTAACTTAGAGCGAAGTTTTTAAAAATTGAAAATTTGTGGTAAACACTGGTAAGTTACGAAGACTCGAAGATCGCATACGAAGTTTGTCAGCGAAGAAAAATTGCGAAACACCAGGCGGATCGCTTTGACTTTTATTAGCTCTCCTACAATCGTAAGTTTCCAATCTCTTCTTCCTACGATAACTACTTCACTCAGAATTCTTACGTAAGATTAATCCACTCGCGATTTTATGTAACAGCTTAATGTACTTCCGGATGGAACATGGCCTCAATATCTGCATGTTACGCTACGATTCTGGGAGCATAAAATAGAGTTCGTACCAGCTCGGAAGTTTCACAATCTTATCACTTTCCATAACCATAAAGCTGTGCCAGATTCGCTAATTTTTAAAAGCTCTAATTCAATGTCCATTACGATACAAAGTTCCAAGTATCACATAGTACCAAGTATCGCAATCTAATACCCTCAGAATTACATTCTTCTAGATTCTAGAGGTGCCCAGTTCCCTCTTATTTCATACTCTCAGTCAATCTCTGTAAAATTCTTCTTCTTCTCTTTATGTTCCTTCTTCCTGTTTCGCGAGCCTCCTCTTTCTTCATTTCCTTTCGTTTATTCTTCATCCCCTTTTTCTGAAGTACTTTCTCTTGATCTTCCTGACCTCCTCATTTGTCTTCTTCTTAAGAAGCATTCTCCTTATTTTCCCTCCTCTTCAAAGTGCTTCACTCGTTTTGAGAGCACCATCCAATTTCTAAAAAATATTTCCCGTTTTTCTTCTGTTAAAAATGTCTCGTTTCTCCGTCTTCTTCTGGTTCTTCGTTAAGGCAAAAGCATGTTGCTATCACCTCACGTGAAAACTCAAAACGGCCGCGAAACACGTGACGTGATTATAATTTGTTTCTATTAGAATTTATGGTAATAAATTAAAAGATATTATTTGAATTGTAAATCTTCTTTATTTTGATACGCGAGGAAGGCACGTCGCTACGCAATTAATGAAACAAACATCGACAAGACGCTGAGAAAAAAAAAAAACATATCAGCGTCACCTACACTAAACAGATGGTTACTATGTTGTTTATATATATGTATATGCTTATATTAATCTGTCTCAGTATGTTGATCATTTTTGCTGTTACTATTACACAGACGCACACTCATTTCTCCTAATAATCCAACAGTTTCCAACAGATTCAACCCTTTAAGGACGATAGACTCGTATATGCGTTCACAAAACACTATGAACGCAACCAATGAACTTACAAATTTTTAAGCAATAAAAATAGTTGCAGTGACCATGATTTCGTGTACTTATATATGAAGAAAATGTAATTTTGATATAATTTCCTTCCAAAAAAAACTGAATTAGTGACCTAATTATGTGTTACAAACATAATCAGTACTTAGACGTAGCGCGCAGTCCTCCAACCACACATTTTAAATGTCACATAAAAGCATGTAATTTCACGTGACGTAATACTGCTTTGTTTCTCCTTTTACTGTCTTTTTGTCGTTTATCGTCCTCGATCAATTCTCCCAAACATTATTCCGCTAATATAATTCCATCCGCGCAGTTTCCTCCGAAGACAGAGAATTCCAATTAGTACATCTTGTTCCTACTCGTCTTCATTTCCGGCGTATACACGGAATCGAATGTAATTCAGCGAGGATCCCCGAAAACTGGCGGTCTGCGCGCGATAATAGTTCGCCGGGGATAAAAGCGATTAGAGATCGCGAAAGGAGGAACGATTTAGCGGCCGGTAAACAGTTGAGAATCGGGGAATCTAAATCCAGAACCAGGAAGGATTTCCGTTCTCCATCCCCTCCTCTTTCCTATAAGCCACTGGCCGGTATTCGATTCGACCTATCGGCCGAGAACTCGGCTCCTCCACTTTGCGCCAGATTCGATTTCCAGATTAATTAAGGACCGCCGGCCTGAAAGGACGCTCTCGAGATCCTTTCGAGTAGGAGAAGCGTAACGAGGCGACGATTCGAGTCCGTTTCACGAGACACCGAGCCCGATAATGACATTTTTCAGAGGTTCACGGAGAACTCGGAAACACCTTTAACGAGAAACGAACCACCGTGATACGAATTCGCGTACCTGCCATTTACCTGACTCGTTAACACCCCTGTTACGACAAAAGGTGTCCTTTTCGAGGTTTCAAGTCGATAGGGTGAAGAATTGATCCAGAGAGTGACAATGGACTTAACTGTGTTTCACTGGGATCCGCAATTTTTTTTTTTAGGGAATAATAAGATGAGTGAAATGTGTGTTTTTTTTTTGAATATTTTTTGGTGGGTAAGGTTTGAGGATTGATTGGAAAGTGGTTGATATTATACTTTAAGAATTATGTTAACAGTGGGTGTTAAGCACTCGGGTACTAATTTCCGCGTACTTGGAATATTGCACTAGGTGCCGTCTGAAGACTGAATGTGTTGCGTTGAGAGTCTGACTGAATCTTTATTATTCCTAATGTAACTGATGGTCTGTGTACTAACACTCTGTGGTCTTAAGCTACCATTGCGCCCGGAGCGCGTCACGTCCTTGGAGCGGGGGTGACGAAGCTGGTCCTTGCTGGATGGAAATTTGACAGCAAGGGGGGAAAACCCGGCCAGGTCAACTCTGACTCTCCGACTCGTTCGGAAGGTCAGGTACCGAGAGGCCTCGGTAGTTGCATCGGTTTCGAAGACCCTTTGGGGTGACTTCATGATACCTTGCCTTACTGACTGAACAATAGCCTATTCTTTAATATTTGAGAAACTCTACGTGCCGCATGTTGGCTGCAGACCGGTTTGCTAAATTAAAAATAACGGTTTGCTGAACTAGAAACCACGTATCATAAAATCGTCCCCTTGCTGTCCTAACAGTAGTTGATCAAATTATTAGAGGCACCTGCAAGGAATTGACGGTTTTACGCTGTAACGATTAATTCTGGGATGAAAAGCTAGTTACACTGAATACTTATTATTTTTTTTATGAAGCCTTGTTTACAAATTGCAAATATACACTTGGCAACACTTCAGGCAATATTATCTGTCATATGGACGTTATTTTTTATCGGTACTGCATATCGCCACTTGAGAACCGCGTATTACAGTTTTCTTGGTTTGGAGATCTTGAGCATTTTCATTTTTGTTGCAGTGTTATTACTACTTATAATGGGTAGTGAATTACTTAAAATGCAATGTAATTGCAGCAAAAGGTAGCGCTACCAATACTGACTTTATTGTTACTTCTTAATTGCTTTGTGTATCTTTAGTGAACACTCGTTAATTAAAAATTATCCAGTGTGAAAACCTTGATATTGTGATTTTATTTCTGCACAAAAACAAAGAACATATTTTTCGTATTGTGGCTCTATTAATTTGATCACCAACTGTGTGTAGATCTTCTAATTATTTTTCGTTAATTTACATTCTAATTTTCTACTTTGTAATGATAAGTTCACGTAAGTTTGAAGACTGTGTTTGGTCCTCGAAGTGGGATATTTTTATAGTCGGAACATCAGAAATTCATTTCGATGGAAAACTGATTCAATTTTAAACAACTCTTCTGGACTGTTAAGATTAATTATGCGCAGGATATTTTCCATAACCATACTTTAATTATAATATAAACTTATCATACTTGAACTGAGTTTACACATGGTTGCTTGTTGTTTAGTTTATCGTTCTTCCTGTATGATTTCTCTAATACGACTGCTTTGATGTAGCACCGAGAAAGCCTGTTCCAAACCATTGATTTTGCCTAATTGTATTAGATGTCATTATTGTTTAATTTACAGTTACCTTCTCCATATAGACAAAGTGTTTATTAGGGTAGATTTTTAGTAAGATATTAGAAAAATAATGTAACTGAATTAACTTTAGAACATATGCAATTAGGTTCGCAATTATAACGTAAATCCTCATCGCTATGAACCGCTGTAAACCAACAGTACCACAATCCAGGATCCTCCACTTCCCAATCCTCTAAAAGCACTACTCTTGCTCTATCTCAACTAACCAGAATAACTCTTCTATATCCTAATTTCCAAATTACCCGTCGAAACCTTGCTCTAAATACCAACCAACTAACCATAATAACATAAATGCATCAT